TATGTGAAAGAATGATAATATATTGTTATTTAATCCCAAGTTTTGTCTTACTTGGAAAGTTTTTGCAGTTTGTGTTTATTTTTAGTATAAGTTACTTAATGGTGATTATAAAAAATTTAATTCCATCAAAAAATTTAAAATTTGGTTATCAATATGTTTGAATTACGAAGTGTACAAAAATTTCTTGTAGAACTAACCTCTAGAAAAAAAATAAACACAGTCAAAAGTCGTTAATCCGGATTCATCGGGACTTCGGCGATTCCGGATTATCGATTTTTCTGGATTATAGATCATCAGTTTAAATCTCGTAAGATGGCATGCAAAAATTCTAAAATTAAAAATATGAAGGCCGTAATTTATGAAATAAAAAACAATTATGATCTAAAGGGTATCAAAATTTACAAAAAAAAAAAGCTTAATATTTATTTGTTTACTTTATTAAACATTTCTTTCAATGTAAGTTGTTTAAGTTGCTTCGTTTTATGTGCTAATACTTTCTCTTTAATTCTATAAACAGACATAATTTCTTGTTCACTTACAAAGTTCCGCTGTTCAAGTCCTGTTAATTGCTGTGCCGAGAATACCGACTAACTTGTCAATCGAAATTTTTTCGTTTTCACTAACCTCTCTGTCAATTCTTCACGTCTTATCCATTTTTTGCAGCAATTCCACTTTTTGTTTGATGGACATTGAAACATACTTTCGTTTTGTACGATCCTTTGGGAGCTCCAGAATCAGAAATTCTATTTGACATAATCGAAAGTTCAAGTTTACTTTTATAATATTGCTCTTACAGTCCACAAAAAATAATAAGCCGGATCCAATTAGAAGATTAAGGAACAACGCAATCATCAACATTAACTGAAATAGATAATTAGATAATTTTAGCTTATATCGTCTGTTATACATAAAACGCGCACGTGAAAACGTATTCTGCGTTTGCGCACACACATATGCGCAGTCGTAAAAGGTATTACGCGCACGCGTAAATGCCTATGCGCATGCGTCAACGTGCGCATGCGCAGAAAGTTTTTAACTTTGAGGTCCAGATTATAGATCATTCCGGATTATGGGTGTCCGAATTAACGACTTTTGACTGTATAAATTTGAATTTTTTTGGTGGCCTGCGAGCCGCATGAGGCCCGATGCAATTTTATGCAGCCCACAAATATATTTCTCATAAGCTAATTAGCATTACGACAAGAATTTGAAGAAAAGATATTACGGATCATCATGCATTATTATTATTACTACTGCTTATGTGTGCTTTGATAAATATTTAAGAAATAAAATTTCAAATGTAGTTTAAAGAACTGCTAAAAAATATCACGCTCTAAGCTGCTTCCAGATCATGCATCCAGCCTACATAAAATTTGAGTTTGACCACTGCCACTGCTGTACATGACATTATCACTATCCTATCACATTATCCGGTACTATTCGGTTTTGAGGGCCGTAAAAAAAACCCACCAAACTATTGTTGATGCCAATGCTGCCAAAAATAATTGCAGCAACTCTAATGCAAGAAAGGAAGTATAAATAATAAATAACTATCAAAGACTGAGGTTTTATTTTAGATGAAAGGTTAATTTCATATAATACTTTTATATTATTATAATTTATATAAAAAAGGTTAAACATGACTGAATGGAAGCATAAGAGTAAATAACTATTTCAATCATTATTATGATTTATATAAAAATTGCTAAACATAAATGAATGGAAGCCTGCATCGCTAGTTTGCTACCGACTTATCGCTAAAGCATAATTTCATCTCATTGGTTGTTCAAACGTAATTTTCTATAATGAACAATGCCTTTTCTTTGAAAATATTCTCGGTAAAGTGTAGAATCGCTCAATTATTTGTTTGCCGCTTTTTACAAGGGTTAAAAACAATTGGATTTTTGTCAATTTTCTTTTACTTTTTAAGCGAAAATAGGTCGATGTGTACATAGATAAAGTCAAGGGCGTGCGCAGTGCCATTTTTGTGCAATTCTGAGAATTTATTTTTAAGTGAAAATAGGTTGATATGCACATGAATGCCGATTATGTGCAATTCTTAAAAACGCGTCAAGCAGTGGGCGATTCTGCACTTACCCAAAATTCTATATCCGACTTTTCATCATGGGCATTTCCCAAATTGTTAAATCAATAGGATATCAAAAAAGGATTTAAAATCAAAAAGGGATTTAAAAATTAAACTAGTATTTCAACGGCGTCGTAAGAAATACAGAACTATATAAACTTATGCAATCTCAAATCAAGCACGTACGCAAGATTTGACGCTTTTGCGCATACATTTTCGCTGCAATTTTTTTGGTTGATCTTTACATTATGGTAACTTGGCGTTTTTTTGGCGAAAATTTGGCGACCAACTCTCCTACAGCAACCCTCTATATTTTTTTTTCCCGCCGCCATTTTGTCTTCACGAAGTAAAGACATGTTTCTTTTCTTTTTATCTACTGAACACTTCTTCCAAACAATCTACTAGCCGAATTACACTTATGCTAGAAATTTTATCTAACAAAACTGCTTAATCATGACAAATATTCACTGCAAAATTGGGAAAAAGTGCACAATACCATACTCCTTAAGCGTTTTTCAAACCCGGTAAAAAGAACATATATGAAATTACCTGATCGCGAAAAAGTAATGAACATTTCCACATATAAAATAAATAAAATTTCCAAAAACTTTTACCTCTAAATCATCTATTACATTATACACGTCACCAACGAATTCATACCGCAACCATTACAAATACTTATTGTCAGATATTTAAATTATTTCCATGCACGTTTACTTCAACTAAAACGTATACCAAATTCCTACAAACATAAAATTCACAAAATAACTATCATTAATTAAAATATAATTAAATAAAACACTACTTAAAATATAAATGAGCACATACATTAAATTAATACATACATAAATACCCATTTCGAATTCACTTTAGTTACGGCCATGGGATCCAAAAATTCACGAACACTGTTTCACACAACACAGAATACAACCAAATACAAAATTTCCAGATTATTTCCCGATTTCCCCCCTTTTCCAATTAAAGAACCGTAATTCGTCCATTAATATCACATGACATATCCCATGATCTCTCATTTTCCTCACACAAAATAATGCGTAATCGGAACCGAGTACTGCTCACATTATTACCAAAGTGCCAGGTAGTAACCTTTATCGCCTCCAAAATGTCGCCAAACTACCAGTTACCATATTGTAAAGATCAACCATTTTTTTTACGGTTCTCAAAATAGAATAGTACCCATTATCCTGATACTTATCTTCAAAAAATTCCAGTTTGCTGATAGATTATAGAAATACACACACACACACACACACACACACAAAAAAAAAAAAAAAAAAAAAAAAAAGACCATTTTCACTAAACAGTAATATAAACAATTTAAAATGATGCATAATCATTTATGTAAAGTAATAAAAAATGTTTTACTTAACTGCACACAGATAAAAATTCAGTTCTACAACTAAAAAGAACATTGTCCAATTATTCTTCATAGGCACAATAAATTACTAGAATATAAGAAACTGAAGGAAAATTACACATTGGGAAAAACTTAAAAAAACAGAGAATTGCATAAATTCGGCATTGCACAGTCCCTTTATCCGTGTACACATTGATGTATTTTCACTTAAAAAGTCAAAGAAAATTGACAAAAATGCAATTCTTCTTACTTTTGTGAAAAGCGCCAAATAAGTGGGAGATTCTGCACTTCATCTCTACTTCAAATCAATCTTTGCCAATGACAAGGTAAATTTCGTAAATTTTAACTAAACTAGTGTCTTATAATATTGGTGGTCTTGACAAATCATGAATGAATAATTAATAGTCTTGACAAATTACATGAAAACATTCAAAAAAGTACAGAGTAGCAATAATCACTAACAGATGAAATTCAATTACTTATACACACACACATATATATATACTATGAGGGAATTATCTACAAATAAATCAAAATTTTAGAATTTCTTTTATACAACTTATTCACAATACAGGCTGCAAAGACACTGCCATCTGCAAAGATGCACAATGATAAATTGAAAAAAATCACAGTATTTAACTCTTGTATAAAAGATAGTAATTTGTATATTCAGTCAATTACTAATGAGAGGGAAACCCCTAACATTACTTCAACTTCAATGTTTGCTTACATATTTAAGGCTAAATAGTAACGGTATTTAACAATACTACCACAAATACTACAGTTTAAAAAAATTGGCTAATCTTTGGAATATGGTAATAGGTAGTTTGGCGACATTTTGGTAAGGCGATAAAGGTTACTAGCTAGGATTTTAGCAGTGTACATTGATAAAGTCAAGAGTGTGCGCAATGCCACTTTTGTGCAATTCTGGGATGTTTTTTTAAGTGAAAATAGGTCGACGTGTACATGGATGATACCGTGTATGTGCAGTTCTTAAAAACGCGGCAAGCAGTTTGCAATTCTGCGCTGTCTCCGAATTTCGCACCTAATCTTCGTCATGATTAAGCATTTTTGTTCCATAAAAGTTCTAGTATAAGAAAGAGTAATTTGGCTAGCAGATTGTTGGAAAACATTTTGAGTTAAAAAAAAAAAAAAAAAATGCCTTTACTTCATGAAAACAAAATGGCATCCAAAGCAAAACTAGCAGGTTGTTGTAGCAGGGTTGGTCGCCAAATTTTCGCCAAGTTACCATAATCCAAAGATTAACCAAAAAATTATTTTTTTATATCAGTTTTTAAAAACACTTTTTATTTACACTCAGTTAACTAACAATAAAATGTAATCTAATTAAACACAGAAAAATGCACGAAAGTATATAGCTAAAAACTTTGAGAAAGGTTTTAAAAACTAGAGACATTGAATCACTTAACCATAATAATATAAATAAAATAGTACACCAAATTACTGATGAACTGTTAAATTATTAATGCTTTTTTTTCCTCTTAAAGATACAACAGAATATGGAAAATTACTTACGCACTGGTAATTGCTCTATACCGTTCTTGGCCAGCTGTATCCCAGATTTGAGCCTTGACAGTTTTACCATCTACTTGAATACTTCTAGTAGCAAACTCAACACCAATTGTGCTTTTGCTTTCTAGACTGAACTCATTTCTTGTGAAACGTGATAGTAAGTTTGTCTTACCCACTCCAGAATCTCCTATCAAAACAACTGAAAAAAATTTTCAATAAATTTATCAAGAAAACGTCAGTATACCATCTTATTTATGCATGCCAATAAGAAAATTTACGAAGTGATATTTTATGCAGATTTGTACTAAAATAATAATGGGAAAAACAAGTGAATAGTAGACGTTCTACTGCTAGTGACAACCGCCTGACGTGTACTTCCATGATTAAAGAATATATAGCATGCATCGCAAATATATGCTAAAAAGGCATCGATCTTGAAAAAGATTCTTTCACTGCTCAAAAATATGATAATAAATCAACATGAAACTACTTTTCAGCACAGCCTTAAATTTAAAACATGTGATTGACATTTACAAAAAATTGACATCCGTAACTTTTAACAGGGTTACCTGCCAGTTTACAAATTAAGAAATCTCTGAAGCATAAACAAAACTGGACAATAACGTAAGGAAATTGCAGGCATTGACCACAAACGTAGTACTAATCAGATAACAATCAAAAATACCATAACTGAAACTAGTGTTAACACACACAACTTCATAGATATTCACACACTTTTAACAATTAAACAAACAATTAACTTCTGAAACCATTTTCAAAGGTACTTACTTACCTTTAAACAAATAGTCATATTCATCATCTTTTGCGGTGACCATCGTTTTCCTTTAGCACGTTAACGTCCTACCAACCAAAAATTATAAACAGATATATGTCAAAACTTAAGTGGCCGGTGAAAATACTAAAAAAGGATAAGCCAATCAAGCAGAACTTATCTACGGAACGTGAAGTTAACACTAAATGCCACAGTTACTAAATAAACACTAAATACTCTTAAAAATTATGTCTTTTTGGGCGTTTTGCGGGTGTTCAAGAAATGATAACAATGCCCTGAAATATAATTTTTACGTCAACTTAAATAATTAGAAAACTTAAAATGGCATATTGGCTTTCCAATTCAATTCCACAGATCTTCCGAACTACAGGAATAATAGTAGTCCTTCTCTAACGCCAAAATAGTTAACTTATCATTGCGTGTACATCTATAATTGAAAAACCTACAGCGCATTTAGTTAGTTATCAATATGGCTGCTTCCAAAGAAATATTAGTGCCACCTCCCAATCGCAGCGCCGCCGAACATTTTGTTCAGCTATTGCTTTCTACATATGCAAAAAATTCAAACTTCTTAATTTGTTAATATATAGTTAATCTACTACAAATCCGCTGCATAGGTGCCAAATATGATTTTCAGCTTACTCGTATGAAATCATAAATGGAATATGCAACTAAAATATTTAAAAAAATCATAATAAAAATGATTTTCTTCAGAAATTTTTGCGATATCAATATATAAAAGCATTCAGCCTAGTTAATATATAAATTCTTATACTTTAATTGAGGCAAGAGCAGATTTTCTGATAGAACCATGAATTAGTTGTTCTTGATAACTACAAATTTAATTAGTTTCTTTCTTTATTCAGTCGAGAACTAAAAGGCAGAATATGAACAATGAATTTGTAATAAAATTATCAGCAAATTAGTCGAAATTTAAATCGCTGACTGGTCATGATGTTACAAAGATTTTCCTCGATATCGCGAAAGCTTTTGACAGGGTATGGCATCGAGGCCTTATTTACAAACTAATCACTATCAATTTTCCAGATAATTTTATTCGCTTAAGCCTCTTTTCTCAGCAACAGAAGATTCAGAATCAAAATCGGTACTGCTTACTCTACCACCCGAGTAATCAATGCTGGTGGCCCACAGGGGTCGGCACTTTCGCCGTACCTTTTTAATATTTATACACAAGACATCCCTAAAGACCCTTCTGTTCATCTTGCACTCTTTGCCGATGACACCGCCATACTTACTACAGCCTGCACAGTTATCGCCGTAAGAAACCAACTCCAAAAGTATCTCATAAAACTGGGAAAATGGCTCACCCTTTGGAGGATTAAAATTAATAATGATAAAACTAAGGCAGTAATTTTCCGTAAAGGAAACATGAAATACTATCCTCCACCCCCTGAAATATTGGACGAAGAAATAGACTGGATTAATGAAACCAAATAACTTGGAGTCACCCTTGACCAAAAATTTACCTTCAGAACCCAATTCCGGTCCGTAGTACAAAAATTTAAAATCACCACAGCTACTATGCGACCTCTCCTTGGTAGGAAAAGCAAATTATCTACTACAAACAAATTAATTCTATATCGCTCCATACTTCGCCCAGCCTTCCTTTATGCAGCACCGATCTGAGGGCATGCAGCTAAAACCAATATTAAACAATTACAAATTCTACAAAATAAAATTCTACAAGAAATTATCAATGCTCCTTGGTATATTCCAAACATCTATATTCACAGAGCCCTTCGAATCGAACTTATTGAAGAGTATATTAAACGACTAGCGGTCAACTTCTTTTATTCAGTACAAACCCACAGTAATAGCCTTATTAGCGTTCTCAGACACTCCCCGCATCCCATAGAAAAACATCGTTACCCAGTGATATCCTACCCACATAAGAATACAACCTTAATTGATTCATTCACGCGGTTTACCACCCGCGGCTACATCTTATAACGACACTGAACTTGCCACCACCCCTTTTTTTTTTTGCCGCCGCTAGTGCGGACCTCACTCTCTTTTTTCCGCCTCCCACATTTCCTTCCACCCTACTCTTTCACCTCCTACCTGTAAGCACGATTGTAAATTATTTATTGTTATTAGACAAAATATATATTGAGAAAATGGCAACAGCTAATTTCTGGATGTCGTTCTATTTATAATTTTAAAAATATACACTGAGATGATATACGCTTGAAATGTTTAATGGTACGATGCAGTAAGTACGTTTGTTATGTTATGTACGTTTACGAATACGTTACGTGTAGGTTATATTATCTTTAAATAAATGTTTGTTTGTCTTTTACAACCATTTTATGAGTAATTAATTTAACTACAAAAGGAAGTTAACATACCCGATCCTTATCAGAAGTCGAGTAAAAAGATGTTTCTACATCTTGACACTCGAGAATAAAATACGATCTGTGTGTGATGTTGCAAGGACATCACAACCAATCAGCAGCTGATTCAATCTCTGATATTTTAATTTGTTCAATCTTCTGCGTATACAAATCAAACTGTGTGACTACACCAGTGTTTCCCAGATTTGGACCAGATCAAATTTCAAATAAACTCTTTAAGCAGCTTCCGCATGGTGTCATCTGCAAATTAACATCCATTTACAATGCCTGCCTCACGAACTCTTATTTTCCGAATGTTTGGAAACATGCTTCGATCTTCCTAATTCCTAAACCCAAGAAACCACCTGATTAACTTACTAGCTACCGACCCATAAATCTCTTGTCTACGCTGGGAAAGATTTTTGGTGCTACTTTGGTAGACGGTTGCACGGATTTTGGCGAGTTTTTGGCAATTTTTCCTTTGGCGAGTAATACGACTTATGGTAAACCCATTGCTGGATCAGTTATTTATGGTAACCGATACTTTGTTGACATTTATTTAAAAAAATAATGCGTTTATGCATAAATTCCGTGTTTAAATATTATTTATGGCTTCTAAATATTAAAAATCAATTTAATTTTCCATTTTTATTTGAAATAAAATTTTATTCTTTATTTTAATGAAATTTTTATGCTGTGGATGATGTAATCATTGACGACTTTAAAGACTCCCCCCCCCCCCCCCCCCTCCCCCCCCCCCCCCCCCCCCCCACCCCCCTTTAAAAGTAATTGTTTTAATATCTATAAATTTTAATCTAATGTTTTAAACATTATTTAGGCTGTTAATTATTAAAATACAATTTTTTTTTGCATTTTTCTTTTTAAAATGATTTTATTATGTATGATTATTTAAATAATTTTAATTCTAGGCGTGATGTAATCAGCTCCCTCTGATTGGTTACTAGAATATTTGTGCATTAATGAGCGTAATCAGCCTGATAGGTTGCTGAAAATTTTGTGCATTACCGCGCCATTTAAAATCTCTTCGAATTCCTTAGATTTCATAGGTAACAGATATGTCTCCTTTCAAAGATTAATGTTGTTATTGGATAAGCACTAAGAATTATTGGTATCAGAATACAAAAATTGTCCTTTGAGACCTTATTTTGTCCAACCTGGCTTTCCTAATCAAAGATTTATTCATAAATTGCTTACGAGGGTCAGACGAAATTTATTTTAAAGTTTTGGAGGAAACCTCACGAATTGCTTCTTCAACTGAAGTGCGAGAAATGTGGATCACAGATGAAGACCGTAGAAGAGCCGATTCTGATACGGGCCGTATATGATATTGTGGTCATGTTGGAAGAATAACCGCTGTAACGGTAAGAAAATATTAGCCATTCCTCCTTTTTTACCAACAATAAACTTGCTGTCATTTTAGCTCTAGTGTACGAAGCGTTCTTATTTACTTATTTTAAAGTATTTAATTTAAGTAATATTTTAATTCTTTTAAACGTTGGTATGATGGTTTTTAATTCGATATTCAATTTACGTAATATTTAATCCAATTAAACGTTGGCGCAATGTTTTTATAGTGGTATTTTTATTCTATTTCTATGCTATTGAAAGTAATAATTTAACCTTTCTTAGTATTTATACTCGTAGTAATGTATTTATTCTATATAATATATGTATTATATATTATATATATAACGTATTTTAAAGTATTTAAATTAATATATTCTAATTCTTTTAAATGTTGGATGATGTTTTTTATTCGATATTCAATTTTAATCTAATTAATTAACGTTGGCACAATGTTTTTATAGCGGTGTTTTTATTCTCTTCTTTGCTATATGAAAGTAATAATAACCTTACTTTAGTATTTTATACTCATAGTAAATTTATTTATTTACACTTGTCTGCCATCTTAAAAAACGACATTTTCAACAAAAAAATTAATCCATTATTTCTAACGATTTTTTTTTTTAAGTTTCGAATACTTTACTATGCGTAAAAACAGCGTTTTTCAAGATGGCTGACGCTTGTAGAAATCGCGCCAACAATTGCGCCAACGTAAATCGCCAAAAATCCGTGCAACCGTCTACCAAAGTAGCACCAGATTTTTGAGCGAATTATTTACAACAGATTGCAAAATCACCTCGACATCATCCCGAAAAAACAACATGGGTTCAGGAAAGGTCTTTCTACCACCCATCAACTGGTTCGCATCTCAGAATTCATAGGATCGGCTCTCATAAATAAACTTAGTATTGCTTTCCGCATGCTAGACGTGGCCAAAGCTTTTGACCGCTTCTGGCATGAAGGCCTCATCTATCAGCTCATACAATGCATATCCCGAGAGAACTCGTCCTCATCCTGCAGTCATTCCTCAAAATCGTGCATTCTCAGTTAGACAAGGTGATTATTATACTAATCCATATCCTATCCTGGGAGGGGTCACCCAGAGTAGCATTTTAGGACCTATTATCTATATTATTTATATTCATGATTTTCCAACCTTGCCTGAAGATTACAACTTTCACCTGGCCTGTTACGCGGATAACACTGCGCTTATACAAAAGTCTAGAAGGCCGAACAACGCTATTGCACAACTACAAAATAAAATGCAACAAGGGGAAGAATGGTGCAAGAAATGGAGAGTGAACATAAATGCAGATAAATCCCCAATTCTACTTAACCGGTGCTACAAGAAACTGGATAACATCTCCGCTACAGTGACTTTGTTTGGAAAAACAATCCCACTTGTAACCCAAGCTAAATATCCTGGCATCACCTTTAATCGAACTTTCCCCTGGTCAACACACATAAACATTACCAGGGAAAAAATCTTTGGAATTATGTGCAAGGTTTTTCACCTCCTAGCTGAATCCTCAGGTCTTAGCCTAAATAGGAAGAGAACTTACACAGCGATCATAAGACCTATTTTTACTTATGCATCTCCAGTCTGGGCAAATGCCAAACCGAACGACATTAAAAAGCTACAAGTTATCCAAAGCAAGTTCCTCAGGACTATCACAGGAGCTCCGTATTACGTCAGAAATAAAAACTTGCACCGCGACTTAAAAATTGAATATGTGAAACCCTACATCAATAAGCTCATTGAAAATTTCTACAGAAAAGCAAGTCAAAATAGCATAGCGGACTTT